TCAAGAAACAAAGCTGTTTGTCAGATTTCATCTTCAACTTCAACAGACGTTATCACCAGCAGATTTTCTTCAAATATGTGAACCTGTGAAACAGCACCATGTGACATCTGAGAAAGAGTTAGCTCACATTTTTCTATACAGGATGTTGATGTTAGATTACAGAGCCAGATATATTCCTGTAAGACCAGGCAGTCCTGAGGCGACCCATTCAGAGTCTATTAGAGACAATGAAAGTACTGAGAATGATTTCAGTGATTTGGATGCTTTATTAAGTATTGAAGACACAGATCTCACAGAACAGACTCGTGTGCATCCAATAGACGTTCAGATGGCAGTATTTCACTGCTCAGACAGCTTTCTTAAACAGATGATGATTACAAAGCTCTCTCAGTGTCAGTATGCCTTACCTTTGCTTGTACCTGACCCAGTCACTATGAAGATCCAGTGTCCTCTGTGGACTTTCAGACAAATAACAAAAACCTGGAAGGTAATTGAAATCAAAGACGGCTCAAACATTGTCACTATGAAGAGTGTTCCAGTCTGCAAAGCTCGGACACCCTTGGTGTCATTTTTCCGCCTGGGTTCTCTGGCAGTGTCTAAATCTCAGCTGATCAACACTTTGATCAACGACCGTCACAGCACCTTCTTCCACAGAAACTGTCCAGGAAGCACCAAGTCTCGATATCTGATGGATGGTGTGGCAGAGATTGCCTGGTACTGTCCTGCTGGAAAACCCAATGATGCCTTCAATGACTGTATTGCCTTTTGTAATCTTCGTGGTGATGCTCTGTCGACTGAAAAACAGCGCAACATACTAATTGAAAAATCCTCAGTGAACGTTTTTTTTGTTGCTTCTCTGCAAGAAAATCAAAAAAACAAGGCATTTATATCAGCTTGTCTTAAATCTCACAAGCCTTTAATTTGTCTCTGTGTCGACAGCTGTAACATTAAGGCAAAAAAGGGAATATACATCATAGGTCTCAAGGACAGAAGCCAGGCAGATGTATCCGAACAACTGAAAGAGATCATTAAAGAAAGTTTATCTTCTCTAGATGGTCCCAGCTTAAAACCATCCTTCCAGCTTGAAATGATGGCTGAGGTCTCTGGAATCAGAGTGGATGAAAGTGAGCCAGCCTGTCAGGAAGGTAAATCTGCTGCTAAGAAAATAATGCATCTGTTTACAAAGGATAACATGAATGTCTCGAAAATCAAACATGAATTTCTCCCGTGCCAAGGTGATCTATGGCATAAGTGGAGCAAAATACACAAAGAACTATATAATCTCAGAGGACACATTGAAAAGGAGAAAAGTAAAAAGCAACAAGAACTGAAAACCATACGTCAGGAACAATGTGCTGCTTCCTGCAGTAAACTGATGGAGTTGTTCATTAAAAGCCTCTCATCATTGCCACTGACAGACAAACAGTATTTCCTGAAATGGACTCAGATCTTGATGGATGATTTCTCCACAGATGATCTTTCCTCAGTTCTCCAAAGCTATGGTGAAAAGTGGTCCGAGGTCTTGGCTTTGAAGAACAAACACATGAAATCACATCTGTTAATAAAAAAACAAACTGAGCTTGAAGAAATATCCAAAAAACTGCAGTCTGCAACTTTTGGTTTGGAGCACATCTTCAGAGAAATGGGACAGATCTATGAAGCTCATAGAGCAATAGAAGGACAGAGCAGACACACTGACTGGTCTAAATACCCTGAGCTGGCTGCACAGCTGATGATATCAGGACACCCGATGGAGCTGATGGATGGTGATGCAGGTCACGTGCCTTTAACATGGATCTCCAGTCTTTTAGAGGAAGTCATCAAGAAACTGGGGGACCAGAGAGTTTTTGTGTTGTCAGTTTTGGGCCTACAAAGCAGTGGAAAATCAACAATGCTGAACACCATGTTTGGATTGCAGTTTGCAGTGAGTGCAGGCAGGTGCACCAAAGGTGCCTTCATGCAGCTGCTCAAAGTATCAGAGGAGATGAAGAAAGACTTGAAGTTTGACTATCTTCTAGTGGTGGACACTGAAGGACTGCGTGCTCTTGAGCTGGAAGGTAACATCACTCTTCACCATGACAACGAACTGGCAACATTTGTTGTTGGTCTGGGAAACCTGACACTGATCAACATCTTTGGAGAGAATCCATCTGAGATGCAGGACATCCTGCAGATTGTTGTTCAGGCTTTCATGAGGATGAAGAAAGTTAAACTTTCTCCCAGTTGTGTGTTTGTTCACCAGAATGTTACAGATGTTGCAGCAGCAGAGAAAAACATGGAAGGAAAGAGACGCCTGCAAGAAAAACTGGACCAGATGGCCAATATAGCAGCTGAAGAGGAAGTTTACAGTGCAGAGTGCTTCAGTGATGTCATTGAATTTGATGTACAAGAAGATGTGAAGTACTGTGCCCAGCTATGGGAGGGCAGTCCACCCATGGCTCCTCCTAATCCAGATTACAGTGAGAGCATCCAAGAAGTGAAGAACACCATCCTCTCTAAAGCTTCAAAGTCTGCTGGAATCACTCTCTCACAGTTCAAAAACAAAATCCAGGACCTGTGGCATGCCCTCCTCAATGAAAACTTTATTTTCAGTTTTAAAAACACATTTGAAATGGCAGCGTACAGAAAACTGGAGGACCAATACGGAAACTGGACCTGGGACCTGAGGAGCAACATGTTGACCATTGAAAATCAGCTTTATAACAGAATTGAAAATGGAAATCTTGACAAGGTGAAAGTGAGTGACCTTACAAAAAAAACAAGCAAGACTTATGAAAAAATAAAAACAGCAATGAAAAAGTATTTTGAGGAGGATAGAGAGAAAGAAATCTTGGCTCAGTGGAGAGGCCGATTTGACACCAAACTCAAAGAGTTTCATGATGAACAGGTGAGCACAGTGAAAAGAAAACTGGATGAAGTTATTCAACAAAAGGAGGCTCGTAAAAAGCTGGATGATAAGAAAAAAGAGTTTGAGGACAGGCTGCTACAGAAGAGCAAAGAGCTCGCTCAGCAGTTGAAGGATAAGGCCAAAGATGAAGAAGAGCTTCAAAAACAGTTCAGCTCTGTTTGGGAGGGCTGGGTTACTGAATTAACACCAGATATAAAACCTGTTAAAGACATCTACATGGAAGAAGATCAGTTTAAAATCTTTCAAGAACTTGGTTTTGAAGAGAAACTCATAAATGAATGCAAACAAAAAGGCAGTTACAAGAAAATAGCCAGTGTTGGTGATTATTCAGATTATGTCATCCTTCAAAAGATTAAATGTCTTGATGAGACAAGCGAAAGTGAACCAAGTCGAGATATTGTAGAGAATTACAATCACACAGGTATACTAGACACATATGTTAAAAAACCTGTCTCAACTCTTTGGAAATATACCAAAACATTTTTTCGATACAGTTCACAGCATAAATCATACAGTGCTTTACCTCGTGATGCACAGGAACAGATCAGATTGCTCATTGATAACGCTGAAAAACAGTCCCTTGATTCGATCAAAACCAAACCTGTGGCTACAAGAGGCTACACATCAACTTACTTGCGAGAAGTGGCAACAACTGTAAATCAAGAAGTGGAGAAATTTCAGTTAGAGAGTAAATATAATTTGAAGAAGGAATTTAAAGTTGACCTCTTACTGTATGTTTTCTACAAAGCAGAGATTTTGCTTCTAGACTCCCAGAAAAAATTCAAAATGAATCATGATCCACTCACTTATTTAGAAAGCAAAAAAACACAGTATTACAATGTTTTTAGAAGCTTTTGCAACGGAAACTCATCTGCTGTTGTGCTTGCAGAACTGATCTCTGAAAAGCTGAAAGCGTCCACTGTTGAGGCTGTCTGTAACAAGACTGCCATTGGTCTGGCTGGAGAGATGAGGTGTAATTTCCCAGCATTCAATGGGAACAGGCTGAACTTGGAGAAACATGTGCTGAAGTCACTCGCTGAGAAAGAAGACTTTGATGATTACATCACCTACATCAGAAATCCAAGAAGCCAAACAGAAGTATTTATAAAAGCAGAGGTAGAGAAATACATCTTCACAGGCCACAGAGATAAAATTGTGAACATACTCGAGAAAAATGTTGATGACATTAAGCTGCTGGTGAGTCAAGCTTTATCTACTGCAACACAGAAAGTGCAAACTCGGAGAGGAGATATAAATATGTGGCTGAAGGAGTTTTCTAGTTTCCTTAAAGAAGAGTTAACTCTTGATACCTTTTCTTCTCAAAACTTCAGTGACATAAATAATTTTGATTTCTTTATGGAAGCAATAAAGAAAGAATTTATATGCATAATTCATGAGATAAGCAGCCTCTCGTTGGAAAAACTGAAGGAATTCAGGCTGAAGCCTGATGAAATCCTCATTGATCAGCTGTGTAATTGTTGCTGGGTAACGTGTCCCTTCTGTGCAGCTGTTTGTACTAACACCATTGGGGATCACAGGGATACTGACCACAGCGTCCCTTTTCATCGGCCTTCTGGAATCAAAGGATGGCACTATAGAGGCACAGTGGAATTCAGCATCAACTTCTGCACAACAAATGTTGCAAGTGATCGCAGGTTTTACCCTCGTCATGATTCAGAGGAAACTGTTCCCTATAAACTGTACAGGACTGCTGGTCCAGAGTATGCTAACTGGAGAATTACCTCTGATGAGTCTAAACTGGCATACTGGAAATGGTTTGTGTGTCGATTTCAAAATAAACTGGAAGAGTACTATAAGTTAAAATTCCAGGGCAGAGGAGAGATTCCCAGTGAGTGGAAAACAATCTCTAAAAATGAAGCCATTAAAAGTCTAGATGAAATGTATGAATGAGTCAAAGAAACAAAATTATTGTCGTTAGATTTTACAGAATGATAGAAAAAAGACTTGAAGAGTTAAATAAAATAGTAGAATTTGCAGAAATGACTGCATTTTTACAGGTAAAGCACAGCATGTGAGATTAGACTGTCTCAATATGTAACAATGATTAAACATTTAAAGTAACTCTTATTGAAATGCAGCCTTTGCAATAAAACCTTTCTGTATGTATTTTACATTGGAACAAATACATTCATTTTACTTTGTTGCTTTTGCTCAAAGTCATTGTAGATAAAGTTCAATTATAATTCTTTAATCTTTTGTTTAACAGTTGTGTCAAGTAATATATTTCCAATCAACTGAATTTCTCTCACATGTTGATATTCTGTATTTTTTCTCATTTCATTTTATTGCATTCTACTGGACAACTTACAGTTTATTACCTCTGTATATTAATCAAGTTTTCTAACTTCATTTAAAAGAAAGAAAACAGAAATGAAACTCTATTACATCAATATCCACTGACAGATTTAGAGCTTATGAGATTTGTTTAGTTGGTTATAATACGTTTTAAATCAGTTATTCTACCCACATTGAGATTAGATTTTTTTGTTTTATCTTGAATATTTCTAAGTGTTGTTTTATGATCAAAATCTTGTTAGACTTTAGATCACTGACAAAATATTAAAAAAAATATTTAAGAAACAATGTTATCGGTGTGTAAATGTATTATTATACGATAAATATATGGTGACTACTGTAACTTAATTTCTCAGAAAAGCACAATGATGGGAAGCTCTCTCTGGTGTCCAAGACAGATCAGTCACTCCAGTCTTCAGAATCTGTGCTTAGTAGTGATGTGCGATACCACTGATTT